ACACTGTATGTGTGTATGCCTATAAACACTGTTGGATGAAACACTGTTTTGGTGGGTGTCTGTAAATGCTTTTGCTTTTAACACTATCGTGGTGCAATTCTGTAAATGCTATCTGTAAAACACATTTGTGGCGTATTTGTGTAAATGCTTTAGGCTTTAACACCTTTTGTGGTGCATATCTGTAAATGCTGTTGGTTGAAACAAGGTTTCGCTGTTTATGTCTAAGTAGTGTTCGTGCGATACAGTTATCTATTGTAAGTGGTTGTTCAAATGTGGGTGTGATCAATATGGGGGAGTTGTATTTTTTTTTGAGAGGTAACAAAATCGTTTTTTTTATTTTTAAGTTCGACAGATGATTCGGTGTCATTGGCGAAGTGGTATGTTTTTTTGTGTAGAAGTGTATTATATGTTTCTTTGCTTTGTTGTTGCTTCGTTTGATTAATCAATGTATATTATGTTGTAGGATCATCTTTTGTCAATATACAATATGGCTCTCGACATATATTGGTGTTGGTGGCTCGGTGCAATAGATCTATGTGATACGTAATAGGTCAGTAATATTTTTAAGAACTGAATTTTTGCTGTATAAAATTCTACTACTGTTAAAAACATTCTATGTTCAGTAGTATATATGATCGTGTATCATTATATTTTGCGTTCTCTTTCAGATATTCTCCGATATTTATTATTCTTCATCTGGTTATCCATTGTTGCATGATATCTAATACTTTTAATGTGATGCATTAAATTAAATGTGGCCATTCTTTGTCAATATGGTTAAATGGTATCAAATGATATTGCTGGTTTTCATATGGTAAGTGTATAGTTTACTATTCTCTTGTTGAGGTATCACGTGAGAGAGTAGTTTCAGTTAGGGTTGACATCTTAATGGTAGGATAGTGGTGAGTTAGTACTAATCTCGTAGTTGTTTATGAGTGTGAGGCTTTCTTCTATAGGTTAGAACGATATAAGATAGCCCTGGCAGACGGCTTCGTAGTCTGTCCCAGTGGATGCATTCTTGTGTGCACCTGTTATGGCGAAAGCAGTGTTGTACTCGGGAAGGCCTTCTATCTCGTAGGTCCCTGTCGTAGTTTTCTTCTACAGCATACCTACGGCATTGCCCAACCAGTCCGGCGTGGCGCGCTCTGTGTGTACCTGTTTCAGCCACGTGGGGGTGCTACCCTGGTCGCGCGCGCGTATATATATATAATAGTATTAAGAACCGGATACTAAATAGACCATAGTGAATAGTAAGGGATCAACAGAAAAGCGACCGGAATCCTTTTCTGAATGTTTACAAATATTTCTTATTGCTCTAGTAGCTATCAGGATTAGCTTCTAGTGAGTTTTCGATAGTGCTAGTGATGTAATCATAGCAGAAGTATATTAGCATCTCACAGCGATCAATTGACGAGATTACAGCATTCAACTGATATTTCTTTGCTGATGAGGTCATTTTTGAATCATTCCCACCAAACGTAAAGTTGCAATGGATTTTGCTAATGAAGCACTAAGAA